GATCATAGAGGTACTTCAAGGTCTTGCGGCTGAAGGTCGTACACTGGTCATGACAATCCATCAGTCACGTTCTGATCTCTTTGGGCATTTCTCACAGGTGCTTCTCTTGGCTCGTGGCGGTTATCCAGTATATGCAGGACCCGGAAAGCAGATGCTGGTGCATTTTGCTACATTGGGCCATGAATGCCCACGATCGACCAACCCAGCCGACTTTGTATTAGACCTGATAACAGTCGATCTCCAGCAGGAAGATCGTGAGATCTTGACTCGCGAGCGAGTGCAGAAGCTGATCACTAAGTGGACCGATGCGATCCCTCAACTTGAACGTACCTCGTCCAAGATTGCAACCCCGGCCGAACTGGGTAGTCTCCGTCGACAGATGCTGCCATTTCGCATCACCTTCCCACTAGTTCTACATCGATCATTCCTGAACTTTTGGCGCCAACCACCGCTTGTGATGGCTCGATCAATGCAGATTGTCGGCATTGCCATTATTATGGCACTATTCTTCGCGCCACTGAAAAATGATTACCCAGCAGTGCAGTCACGGATGGGTTTCATCCAAGAGTTTGCCGCGCTATACTTTGTTGGTCAGTAATGAAGAAGGCCCGTCGTTCTGTTACTCTTTGAAACAGAGGCTAATTTCCAACAGGTATGCTTCAAAATATCGCCATTTATCCGAACGAGCGCGACGTCTTTTATCGCGAAGAGGCCGACAGATGCTATTCAGCCGAGACATTCATCTTGTCTTACACGGCGATTGAAGTCCCGTTTGAAATCATTTCCGCACTGGTGTTTGGAGTGATGGCTGCCTTTGCAGATAATCTCAAACGCAATGTCCAAATGTTTCTTATCAGTGCCTTCAACTGCTTTTGCATCATAAGCTGCGGTGAATCTGTTGGAATAGTGTTCTGCACGCTGTTTTCGCATGTGGGCTTCGCCGTCAACGTGACATCGATCTTACTCTCCATTTCGACGATTCTTGGCGGCGTCATGAGTTTAAATGTGAATGAGGTCTTGCAAGGCATCAATTATCTCTCTCCGATCAAGTATGCCATTGCTAACCTTGCCCCTTACTCCCTGCATGGGCAGCATTTCGACTGTTCAGCATCCCAGCGACTTGCAAATGGGCAGTGTCCCATTGAAACTGGGGAGCAAGTGCTTGCTCTGTATAACCTTGATAAGAGCGGGCCGATGAATATCATGGCACTTGGTGTGTGCACTATCATCTATCGACTCGCCGCATACGCCTTTCTCAAGATCATGCGATCGAACCGGACGATGGAGCGGTGGCGCGAATGGTGGAAGTCCCGAAAGGGAACTTCCTGATGCCATTCAAACTTGGGCGCCGTTGTAGATACCATTCCCCAGCCTTATGGGCGTGTGCATACAAATGAACCGAACATTTAAAGGTTGATTTTTATATTATAATTATCAAATGTCCCTCCTCTACTGCCATGCGATCTCAGCGATAGTACAGCCATACATACAGATGAAGGATGCGGTCAACCGGAAGCGTCGGAGCTCGCCGAGATGGCGACCGCAATAGGGGCTGCTTGCTGCCCCAGTCCAATAATTGTTCCAATATTAATGCTCGGCATGATTGGCGAGATTCGACGAGGATGAGTCACGCCTATTCTGTCGTGGCACTTTTTTCTAGCCTTCTTGCCTAACCCAGTTGGGCACCAAGAGCATCGATTATCTCGGCACCAAGAACCCAAACCCATCCCATCCACGGGAATTGTCAAGCCCAAGAAACGGTTTTCTGCATCAAATTGACCTTTTCGCATACCCAAAAGAGTATACTTTTTAAACTTCGAGTTTGCGCCTCTTTAAGGTTACACCAATTCCTTCCGGATGATTCTAGTCGAGAGACCCGCGGGACTAGGGACCCTTAGCGGGGGTTTCATTTGGAACGGGAGACTTGGAGAACACCTTTTAATCGGCGAAGAAGTGTAAAATGGTTCAACCTTTAGCCGAGGGAAAGAATTGTATTGCCATTGGACGATCCACCAATTTCGCACGAGTGAGTGTTGGTTCGCCCAAACTCGGGCAGTGCCCGAACCAACTTGTCGCCGGTGAAGTTCCACCGGAACCACAGGAACCAGAGAGAACAGTGTTCGCAGTGGCCAACAGTGTTCTCTGTCGGCATGGAGAAATCGGCAGGTAACTTTCGTACCTTTTCGTGGATTTCCATGTGCAAACTTTTCTTGCTGGTGTGGGTATCCGATGACCGCATTTTCAGGAACACACCGTGATGTGGAACATGGCCATTGAAAATGTCTTTAGGTACAGTACGGGAGTACCTGCATCAGGTAATCATACACACACGCTCCGTTCAAGCGAACAATAGAACAACCGGTTTGCTCCAGGGTCCCTGAAACACGAAACGGTGCGCCCGGATCTCCGATCATTCGCTCTCTATCTCAGCCTCGGTGGAGACTGGAGACTGCGACACGTACAACACTGGATTTTGTCGACTCCAGCATGCACCGTCCAGGGTCCAGGCTTGTCTTCCGACTGGCGGAGGATCTTCGGTTGGCGACGAATGGCTGCGGCTGTATTTCCGCCCTGAAGGGTGTCTCCACTGTCCAGCGCCTCGGTGCAGATGGGCGAATCGGAGCGCGGGGAAGATCGTGCATGGAGTTGAACTTTGTCAAAGAGAGAAATAAAAGATTTCGTTTTGGTTGGAGGGTCCCTGTCTATCACTTGGTCTAGACTTGAACCCCTCCCACACAACTTCTTTGGGCGTGAAAAAAAAAAGACACAAAGCTCCACAGGGACATCGCCAATCATGGGTCTAGATCCGATTTTTTTTTGGCCTTTTGTCGCTTTTTTCTCTTTTCTTTCAGGTCGATCTGCTGCTCCCCGTAACTGGTGTCCCCTCCCCATAGGCAAATTTACAAGTCTTTCAATGAAACATGGGCAAAAGTATTGTAGCAAAATTGTCAAATTTTTTTGGATGAACGATGGTAGTTATTCAACCTCTCTATAAACAAGTCTATCTCCCCCATAAAACTCCTTGAGAGCCAAGCTCCCATATTCCTGGAAATCCGGGGGTATTCATATACATCAAAAAGAAATCATAAGTCTCGTGACAACGTCCGGCCCTCAAGGGGAGACATGTCGAATCAACCGAACATGTAAGAAACAAGTCCAATCTTGTTGGTTGTTAGGTGAAGAGGGCCACCGAACTGGGTGGAAAGAAGTAAAAAGAAAGGATCACGTCCCAACAAGGGGACAGTGAGACGAAGAGAAGAAAAAAGACCCTTTGAAAGAGTGCGCGGGTCAACCGGCAAGGTGGAAAGAATGGAAAGAAGAGAAAGTAAAAGAGCAAGCTCAGATCGTAAAGTCGGGACAGAGTAAAAGATAGATTTACTCGCCGATGGTCAGGCCCAGACCAGTATCAATGGGGCAACCGTGAGTAGCGTGGTCATCAGTAGGCTGGAGGTAGGCGGCAGCGCAGTTGGCATCACCAGCATTGCAGACGGCCTTGGGACAAGAGTCGGAGGCATCCTTGGAGGGGACGACGGCGAAACCGTACTTGGTGAACTCGGAGCCAGTGCCCATGTTAATGCAGGAGAGATCCCAGAAGATGGTGTCACCGGCCTGGGTGTACTCGAACTGCAGGACGTCGGACTGGTTGGGGTCGGTAGCGAGCTTGATGGAGATACCACCGCCGTTGGGGTTGGTCTGCCACTTCTCAGAGTAGGTACCACCACCGGCCTTGATGGTCTGCATGGGTCCAACGTCCTGAGAAACAGACCAGGCGTAGATGTCCTTGTTCAGGGTGTTGGTGATCAGAACACTGCCGCTATCGGCAGTGGCCTGGCGAACGACCATGCCACTGGGCAGAGCGGAGGCCAGAGTAGCGAAAACAGCGGCGATGCCGAAAGTCTTGGTGAACATCATTTTGAATGTGAAGAGATTGTTTGTTCAGAGAACGTATGTAGAGGCGATTGTGTGTCTTGGAAGTATGTGTCTGAAAAGACTTGGATGTAGATGTAGACTGGATAAGTCAAGAGAAGGTCTGGTCGACAGACGAAAGGAATGTATCGAGATCGACTCGAAAGAAGGTAAGGATAGTAAATGAAGGTGATACTTCGAAAGGACTGTGGTGATAATTCGAAACAACGAGGGTGTACAAGGGGGTCTTTATAACTTTTCGGAAGCGTCCCTGTTCAGGTCCCCCGGACAGGTACCGCCGCAAAAGAAACGTGGTGGATCCAGCCACGCAGGGCCGGATCCATGGATTCAATGCCTGGAGACAAGTGGAGTCGAGTGTAAAAGGCGAACAAAAAAGAAAGAAGAAAAAAAAAAACATCGAAAGTAGGTGTGGGTCGGGGAGGAGGCGAATCATGGCGGGTACCGTCGAGGCAGGATGTCACATTGGAGCTGCGTTTCAAGGCCTCGACTGGGCGTCTACAAGGCGCGAAATGAAGCATGTACTTGAGCATTAGGGGGAAATTAATGTGAATTGATTTGAAATGGATAATGAACTCGTATTCCGCCAGCACATATATTTTTTGGAGGGATGAAGCGGTGTGATATCGAATGTGTTCGAATTGACGTGTTCGACGGGTTGTGGTATAGTGCGTGGACATACAGCTTACCCTGTGGAATTAACAATGGCGGTGCCTAACGACAACAAATATTTGCCTTCCATCATCACCATCGAGCGTGGCAATAAGTCATGGCAATTCTCTCCCCACGTCATCCGCTCCGTGACCTTCCGTGGTTCTCCAAAACGACAAAAGAGCTCATGGCAATGGCAATGGCAAACATAGAAACATCAACGTCAAAAAGGGGCAAAGACGAGAAAACTTTGACATCTATCGAACCAAATCACGGCTAATCTCCACGGCAGCTGTCATTCCAGATCACAGGTCGGCAGCGTGGCTACACTGCAGCTGCTAGCAAGTGGTGGCCAGGCATCATCATCACCATCGTAGGCGATACCTCGCCTTCAGGCTAGAACGAGTGTTCCCAGGTTCAAGTTCCTAACCGATGGGTTCATCAGGCGTCAGAGCTGCCATTTGATTCTGGCCAGCAATTGCTAATATGGCTAGCCAAGTATGTACTTTTTTTCGACGTGTCTGGTCCCACTCCGCGACCTCCATGAGATCAGGGCTACTCTTCTTTTGCCTGAGCACACTTTCGAGACCCTTTCGACCCTCGCTGTATACTGTAGACGAGCTGAATCTACATACCCACCTGGTCCCTGAATACTGTATCGGTCACTGCCCGGTGGGAACCCTGGGCAAAACCCACTCGCCGAAAATTCCTCTCCATCGTCCGCCTCTGACGTCGGTCTTGACTGTACATACTGACTGTGTATGTAGAGAGTGTCGATTCGATCGAGTCTGGATCTCTTTTCGAGTGGCGATGCGTATGGTCATTTGGGGTGCCACAGGGTTATACCACCTTACCTATTCAGTTTGCCGGTGGCGGGTCCTATAGCTGTTGTTCTTTTGATCTTGTTTGTTCGCCAGGAACAGGAAATGAACTCTCCCTGACTAAGCCAATTGCAGAGTTTTACTAAATTCCGATACCTCACTTCTACACATCATTGAATCGAATTGAATTGAAATAAAATAAAATAAAATATCGGCCTTAAAAGTAGATATACTTTTAAATTACAGATCTTTCAACTTCCTGCATACCATGCCCGCTCTATCTCCGATCGCCTTTTAGTCCTAGCCTTAGCCCATCCGTTCCGCAGCTGGTGACCACCTTAACGGTCTGGTGGGCCAGCTAGTCCCTCTTTCCATAACGATGGGAGGGGTTGAAGAGGGGCCTGAGAGGGACCTCCTCACCTAGTCCAAGGTACCTTGGCGATCTTCCAGAACGCCATCGTGATTCTAGACCGCCACTTGTGCTCCGTACCTGCGTGCTAGCGTCGACTCTAGGGTAAACACGGTTAGGACAAAAAGGCACTGGGTGGCTATCATATCCACCAATGGCCCAGATCAGGGCCAGACCTTTGTACGGAGTATCTGTCCGGAGTAGTCCGTACTTCGAGGGTAATTAGTAACTACATCTACTGAGTGGTCGGAATGATAATGCTCAATGATCAGAAAAAGACTACCTGGTATACGGAGTACTGTGTACAGGAAATTAAAAAGAAAAGAGAAGAGAAGAAAAATCTTCTCCGGTCTCGCGCATTTTGTGGCACCCCGCTGTGGTCTGCCCCCACCATCCATCTCACAGCCACTGAGTCACCTCTCATTGCTCAGATCGCCCTTGTTCCTCCGTCCCTTTTTCGTAGCAGGGGACCCCTGCTACCCAACGGGGTTCGGATGGTGAGGAGAGTGGCCAGGCTGCACCGAACGACCCCCTCGAGCATGGTATGGCATGGTGCCTGGGGCGGGGGTATAGATCAACCCGCTCTTACCAGTATGGCGCCCGCATAGCCGACAAACTGGCCAATGTACTGTCACCCGTCTCCTCCTTCTTGCGGTGACCGGCAAGCTCGAGAGTGATCTGCCGGTGAACATGCACCAACCAGTCCACGTAGCTTTGGGCTTCGTTGTTCCTGTCCTCCAGAAGCAATCGGGCGAACTCGTATTCCGCCCCATCCAGACCTTGCCGGGCTAGTTGGATGGTGACTGCTTTGGACCCACGCACTGTTGAGAAGTATTGCAGAATATTGCGCACCTGAGCGTTGAGGTGCGTCTCCAATACTGGCAGGGATGATGTGTTGGGATTGAGCTCTTGGAGCGAGTTCGCCCCGGGTCCGAGTAGATCCTCTAGAAGATTCGGCGAGACATGAGCATGCAACCAAAGAAGAACGGCTTGTCCGTTATCCACTAGGTATGCACCTCCTTCCTCAATCTTTGAGAAGCTAGCGCGTAGTGTCGGTGGGACCTGAAGTTGGCCTTGCTCGTTAGGGAAGCCGTCTTCTGGTTGCAGGCTGTGGATGGGGATGATGCGAGGGTAGAGGTAGAGAGATAGCTCTGTACAGCCGAGGGATCGAATCATGCGCATGTCATGAGTACGGCGGTCCGATGACTCGTTGCCACCTGTCGATATATCTTAGCAAAGGTTTACGACGGTTGTGTCCTAGGAGGTAATCTCACCTTTGAACGCTCTTGACTTGATAAGACTGAGCATGTACATCGAGAATTCCTTCAGGTTCTCCGGCAATACCAGTTGGCCTGGCGGGTGTGACCCGGAAAAGTTCTTGCGGTATCCGCTGAAGATATCGACTGTCTTCTCGGAGATACTGGCACGGATATCCTTGAGGCTCTTGTCGAGGGTTTTTGAGGCAGCTGTTATACAATATGTAAGCGTCTTCAGGTCAACCAAAAAAAAAAAGAGTAGTATCGACTTACCCTCCTTAGCAATAATTGCTACCACGGCATCTTGATCAACATGTTTCATAGTCTCTAAGGCACCTTCATTAACAGCGGCCACCACATTGATGCAACGAACTCTACGTTGACCATCAGCAGAGGTATAGAGCAGTGCGGCCTGGAAGTGGGCGTCGAGCTTGGGGTCCAGCTTGCCATCATAGCTGAACACAACGCCAATGGCCTTCTCTGCATCTATGCCACCGATCTCGAGGTCGGCACCGAGGGTATGTTGCACAAAGTTTCCGTGGTAAGAAGACACTTGCAAGCCGTTCGAGCACCGCACCTTCATCAACGCCTGATAACCTGTCTCCCGAGTGGTGGCATGGGCAATCTCCCGGCGAATCTTGAGTAAATCGCGCGGTGCATGGAAATTTGGGTAGAAGAAAGTCTCGCCGCCTGTTAGAGCAGAGACATGACCTATTCAACGAATCAGTCCCTGTGCATCGAATTCCAGATGTTTGTATTCTTAACATACCCATTGTCGCCACATCCATGTAAGTGCCACCAGGGGCGGCAATAAAGAAATCCACTCCCACTCCCGCTTCAGAAAATTGGCTCGCTGTCTTCTTCCATGCTTGATTATCGGTGGTAAATAGTTTCCGCTCTGCATCCGTCCCGTGAATCTTCACATCCTCACGCACAGTCAACTGTCCAGGGCCCCAAGTGGGCAGGCTGGATACTGCGCAGATGACCTTTCCGCCGGTGGGTTGAAGAGCTGCGAGAGCGGCATTGAGTGTTGGGAGCACAACGGGGTCAGGGTTCTTGATATGACTGAAAATACTGGGTATCCGTTCCAAAAGTGATGTGATCACAGACCTAGTGCATATGGTTAACAGCTTATCCAAGTATCTCGGTTGCATTCACCTTACTTGGATTCATATGGATCCACAAATAGACCCTCACTCAATGGTACGAACGGTTCTTCCAGGTCGGTCATGACCATCATCTGCGCCTGGTCCAATGTGCCCTAAATTTCCTTTCAGTCAGATTCATTCCAGAGATCTTGCTGCTATGGCAGAGAAGATAATGAGCCTTACGGTGAGATTGTAGAAGTGAACCTCTGTGTCGAACGTGACAATACCGACCTTTGCTCCTACAGGGAGCCTCCGTGCTTTCGCTTCATCGCCCTCAGTGCCATCAACAGTTCCATCCTCGCCATACAATGCCTCTGCGATGCCTTCACAGACGCCCTTCAAGAAACCTCGGTGCACAGATTCGCGACTGACGTCAACCAGGAAGAGCGTCTGCAAGCCCACCGGTTCCTTGTTCCAGTATTCCTTGGGTACCAAATACTCGACTGTGCCCATCATCAGCTCCGGTCGTTGCATGCGGTCCACGCGAGCCCCAGAAGGATCTAAGGGCGCAAAGTATTCGGCAGGCGTATCATTAGCGTGAGTGCACATGTTGCAGACGAATTTGCTGCCACCTGATCGGAAAGGCATAAAGGGGTTGATATATGTTCTGCATCGTCGGCATCGTGGAGGGCCAATGTCCCCGAAGTCCAGCACGGGGATGGGTTGCTCGCCGGGATCCAAAGCTGCGAGGGGTTGGATCACCATCCCCAGAGGCAGACCGGTGGAGGAGAGGAAGTCGGATGTTGAGGGTATATTGTTGAGTGTCAGACGGGCGTACTTGGGCGAGGAGTTGCCCTGATCATGGGCCACAAAGGGGATCGACGCAGGTGGAGGGAAGTGACAGTCCATTGTTGGAAAGACATGGTTGAAATAGTACTGAGCGGGCAAGTCGCGCGATCGTGGGATGCTGGGGATCTGCTCAGGGTCAATTTTGCCCTGGGTAGACACTGAGTCTGATCCAGTAGAAATCCCAGGCTGGGAGGTAATTCCCGGCGCTGGCTGCACGTATCCTGGGGAAGCACCCGCGACAGGCTGCGGAGCTTGGTTTAAGCCAGTATTCAGGAATTGGGATGTTGGTTGCGGCGCCCCCGTGGCAGCCACTCCCTGGCCGAAGGCCGGGGCCGGGGCTGCAGCTGCTGTACCAATATCGTGATGGGCATGCCGATGCTTCTTACGATGTGACCTGGCTCCAGCATCTGGTGCGATCCCAAGCCCGCTCATCTGAGAGGACAATCCGGCCATACCAGGGTCTCCAGCGGCACCCATGGGGGGGTGCTTGCTGCCCGGCAGCGGCATTATACCCAGCATTCGGGCTGGTAGGCAGATTCTGCTGTTGAGGCGAGCCGTAGGTGGACCATTGATTCGGAGGATAGGGGTTCGGATAGGCAGCTCCTGGTTGCGGAGGAGCCCCGGGGGGGTAGCCTGGGTATTGTTGCTGTTGCGGAGGTTGTTGTTGTTGCTGCTGCTGGTGTTGAGGATGAGGATTTGAGGGGTCACTAGCAGCTCCCCCCATTGAGTGATACATCGGGTCAGCCATAGGAAGCGGAACCGAGGAGACCTTGAAAGGGAGTGCCCCGCGGTGGTGGATGTTGATGATATACCGGATCGGACACCTTCCACTTGGCGGAACGGGCCATCGTACCTCCGAGGTTGTTCACGTGGAGCCAACCACATCGTGGGAAGTATACTACAACCACCGTCAACTGTACTTTTGTTCCTTTTTGTACTCTTCATGGACGGTCACCATCGTCACTAGGTTTCATTTTAAATCCGGGTCGATTTACTCTCGGCTGATGGTTTAAGCACTTCTCCCGTTCCGCTGAGAACCCTGTGGACACATGCATATCCTACAGTACTTCATTCGCAGATCTCCACCGCTCTTCCAGGATGGCCCTCCGTGCTGAGGCAGGCTAGCGAAGGTCGGAGGAAACAACCGACCATCCAGTTCTGATCGAATTCATTTATTTGTGTGGTGTTCAAGCCGACCAGTCCGCATACCACTAGCTCTGAAGTCGGAAGATTCTCGGGCATCCCACATGTCCATCCCCTCATCCAACTAGCCCCCCTAATCGTCAAAGTCCCAGTCGACGCGGTACATCCAGCTGCATCGACGCCTCGGAAGACCCCTCGAATCAATTGATTCGCGCTTATCGCCCCCCGCAGACAGAAATCCAATGGTTGCTCTATTTTGCGTCCGGATCACGCCAAATCGCCACGATTCTTTCTATTTGCAAGCTTCCCACTTGAGGGTTTTCTAGGCTTGTCCAACTCACCGTCTCTTTGTGTGTCTTCCGAATCGGACCTTGGCCCCTCCATCTGGCGTCACTCGGGTTTGGCGAGTAGATATATCTTCCATAGCGTCGGGCCCCGTAAGTCATGCATAAACTTTTTTTGCTTTTTCTTCATCACGCCCTGTTTATTATAAGTTTATGGTCACTCTCAGTCTTAACGATGGGCCTAACAACCAAAACTCCCGATACAGATCGCAAATCATCAAGAGTTCGGATTGAGCGACCCAACCTTGAATCTCAGTCTGCTCCCAGTATGGCAACCATCCAAGACGATGATGAGCTTCTTCTAGCTCGTATTGGCTATAAGCAAGTATGTACCCTTGATAGTTTAAACAAATCTTCGAATTGATGAGCGCTTCCACGGTTCCTTTCTAACGTTCTCGTTCGTGATGATATTAGGAACTGCGACGAGAGTTTTCCAAATGGTCCACAGTTTCCTATGCTATATCTATCCTCGGTGTTCTGGGCTCCGTACCAGCGACCTTCGGTTCTCCATTAGCAGCCGGTGGCCCTGCCACGGCTGTTTGGTGCTGGCTGATCGGATCTGTCATGGCGATGTGCATCGGCAGCTCCGTTGCGGAATTAGTTTCAGCCTATCCGACAGCTGGCGGCATGTATTTTGTTACCAAGCATGTCGTGCCCCCTGATCAAGTCCCAATTTTCGCGTGGATCCAGGGCTGGTGCAATCTACTGGGTCAAACGGCTGGTGTGTCGAGTGTTGCATATACTGTCAGCCAAATGCTACTTGCTTGTGTCAGTATGAATTCAGAACTCATTGATGGGAGTTATTCATATTCGCCGTATGCCCAACCCATCTATCATTTTGGTGCCTCGCATGCTAATGTACCCGCTAGGTCCGCACTGGAGACCGTCTTGTTATCTATCGGGATCCTGTGTATTCTTGGTATCATTTGCTCGCTAACGACAAGAACGTTGCATCGCATCATTCTCTGGTTCGCGCCGATAAACAGTATGTGTTTGCTATGTTTTTCCATCGCGTTATCAAATAACTGACAATTACAAGTCTGCGCAACTATCGGAATCTGCATCGCTTTGATATATCTGACCCCGGACAAGCAGCCCGCCTCGTGGGTCTTTACCCACTTTACTGATGGGTCTGGATGGAACTCGAAAGTCTTCTCATTCTTTCTGGGGTTTCTTTCCGTCGCATGGACTATGACCGATTATGATGGTACGACACAGTGAGTTTCCCTTCCCACCTACATGTAGCACCAATCTCACATTCCTCTCAAGCATGTCAGAGGAAACACATGATGCCGCTGTCCGAGGACCAGTCGCCATAAAGACAGCCGTCCTTGTTTCAGGGGCCTTCGGTTGGCTCTTGACCGTCTGCATGTGCTTTTGCCTCTCTGACTTCGATCAAATTCTCAATACTCCTACGGGTCTCCCAGCCGCACAGATATTCATTAACGCTGGTGGTAAACGAGGTGGCACGGTCATGTGGTCTTTTGCCATCCTCGTCCAATTCTTCACGGGTTGTTCAGCCATGCTGGCTGATACTCGAATGGCTTACGCATTTGCCAGAGATAGCGCCCTCCCCTTCTCTGGTTTCTTATCGAAAGTCAATTCTCGTACCCATACGCCCATAAACGCAGTCTGGTTCGTTGTCTTCTTCAGCGTTGCCCTGAACTGTATTGCGATTGGTTCAACACAGACCGCCACAGCAATCTTCAGCATCACTGCTCCAGCATTAGACTTGTCCTACATTTCGGTAATTCTTGCGCACCAGCTCTACAAAAACAAGGTCAAGTTCATCGAAGGTCCCTTCACGCTGGGCAAATGGGGTACCACGATTAACTATATCGCCGTGATATGGGTTATGTTCATCAGTACCATTCTTTTCTTCCCGTCACAGCTTCCTGTCACGGCAGCCAATATGTACTGTGAACTCCTTATCTCAAAGCTCGACAGCACACTAACTTGCTCCAGGAATTATGCGATCTGTGTCGCTATCTTCATCGCCACTTTCGCCCTGGTCTGGTGGTGGGTTGCAGCCCGAGGGTATGATAGATACGAAAGTCCAATTGAAAAAGGAGTAGCAACTAACATCAATCGCATAGAAAATACACGGGCCCTCAAACAAATGATATCATTCACGAGATTCCCAACGATGAAAACGAACACGAATACGCACAATCTGATGAGGGATCTGTTTGAGAAGCTGGCCGCGCTACGGCATTTCAAATTTCGCACAAACCCACGCACCCAAATCTCTCATCAAAGGTAGACATAGAACTAGGATAGAATATGGCAATTGGGAGTTCATTGAACATACACAGGTTCATGATAGAGTATTTCGGAGTTTCGTTTCATATTTACAAAAGAGCAGGGCTTGGATTATGAGAATAAATCGTTACTGGTGTTGTTCAGATAATACATAAAATAATTGAAGTTAAAGTACACGTGCATTTCAGCTTCCTGTCACGATGGCAAGTCCCTCGTAGATCTTCATCTTAACAGCAAGGAAGCTACCAGCATCTCGGCCTAGAGCTGCCTGGTTGGCAGTTGCCTGGGCGGATGCTTCGATCTCAATCTTGCCAGTTCCAGATTTCCGGACAGCCACGGCTTTATCGATGAGCAGCGTACCCTCACCCCTAAACTCAGCAGTGTGGCCAGCTGCTTGCATGAGTTTACGCAGATCAGCCAGACGTAAGTCACCCACATGCAATGGCCGGGTCATGGATCTGGTCCCGGCAGCCATAGTAACAGGCAGTGTTTCAAGAAGAGGGTAAATGTCGGATTTGTCCCCGCTCTTAGGAATGACCGCAGAGGAGGCCTGCTCGTTCGCCAGCTTCATTCTCTTGCCTGTTGCCTCCGGATCGGCTTCCCCCTCGATGGGAGGCTCTGGTCCTCGTAATTGGGCGGTTAATGCTACCACACCAAGACTGCGAACGTGCTGCCATTTCAGACGTCGGACAAGGGTGTTGCTGAGCTTGACCATCCATGCATTTGTATCAACGCTTGCGTCGACGGGTTCGCCGTTGGCAGGAGTAAAGATGATCGCTGCTGTATCAGCAGCTGAGTCAACACCAGCTTTAGCAACCAGGAGTTTTTTGCATTCGATCGCAAGCGCCAACGTCTCATCCTTCATTCCGCCAACGAGAATCAGCTTTTGGGGTTGGATGAGAGGAATCAACATTTCCAGACTTCGCTTGTCATGCAAGCCCATAAAGTCCACAAAGGCGATACGAGCATTGATGGTGATTGATTGTTTGGTGTATACAGCCTTAGCAGGGCCCTCGAATGCCTGGCTGTCTGCCTCATCGTCTGAGAATGCAGCGACATCACCAGCTTCGCCGTCCTCAGCGAGACTGATGTCATCATCTGCACCAGAGTCAGCCCTGTCGCCGTCCTTGAGCTGCTGGCGCTTGCGGCCCGCAGCGCCTCCCGATAACCTGCGTCCACCGGGACCAGCAGTCTCATCCCATCGTCGCTTTTGGCCGAGCTTGGTCTCTGCGTCTGTTCGTCGTTGTTGCATATCGATTTCCTCGCGCTCCTCTGCTCGCAAGTATTCTTCAGCTCGAATGAATTCGCCGTATTCGTCTCCCTTCTTACGGGGAGCGACATAAGGAAACATGCGCTCACGCCCCTTCTTTCCACGCACGTCGTAGTCGAAAACATTCTTGCGCCGAAGTAGAATATTGATACCCAGGTCTTCGTCACTGACAGCAAGCTTGTTTCGATTTGCATGGGCAAGTGAAGTCGAAAAATTCAGAACACGACCTTGCTGCTCACCATCTGAGTCTTCGGATGAGGTCGAACTAGATCGGTCATCCAAAGCGTCTGCGGCATTCTCGAGGGTTTCCTGGCCACGAGGTTGAGATGTGTCTTCGTGTTGTCGCTTTGTGGCAAGGTATTGCTGGTAAATAATCTGGTCTCCTACATCGAGGGGGGGCTCGCTGAATATCCGCCCAATCCAACTCCCGTCCACCACTGTGGACTTGTTCCAGCATTTCGCCGTCCGATGTTTTCTCCAGCGCAACGCCATCTCTCCGCTCTTCATACCACTGCCAGATAGTCGCTCCGAGCGAAGCAGTATTCAATAACTCCGAGCCTTCAGGAGGTGCATTTTTACGGAAGGATTCCGTCAGCAACAACAAGTTGTTGGGTCCCTCGGCAATTTTTTCGCAGGGATTCTTTCGCAAAGCCCCAAGCCAATGAAGTGTCAGAGGCAATAATCACTTTTGGGCCCTGGTCTGACAGGAGTTTCTCAAGTCGGTTTTTCCGCTCGATAGTTTTAAGATGCTTGAATGTGAAGGGACCGCCGCCACCCTTAGAGGCGCCTTTGTCTTGTCCCTGGACACCAGATTGTTGGCCTGCAGTTGCATCTGCACCCTCGGCAGCTTCGAATTCGCGAACAATATTTTCGTCCATCCATTCGAGCATACTCCGAGCGAGGCGCATCGTGGTATTGACCTTCCTGCCAGCCAGATAAAGACCTGCACTTTGAAGCACATCCTCTTTTTCGCTTGCTACAGCATCACGCCAAGCATGCTCTAGCGCATATGCCAACTCCAAAACACGAGAACTCGTGTCTGTTGGGATAAGGACGGTACCCCCTTTTGCCAAGGTATTCCGAATCATTTCGAGAAGCAGATCATCCCTCTTTCTGCGCCCTCCGGAAAGCGAGAATTTATCGCCTCCCTTTGAGCTACAAATAAGAGCTGTTGGTTTGCGCAATTGTTCAATGACTTCCGTTCCACTGGCCCCAGATCCTCCAAACCATGCGGCACCTGCTACCACGCTCTCACGTGCCTGGTTCCAGTCCACCGCGTATACAATAGATTCCATGCCATGCTGAATATGCCATATTGTTCCACCGACTGTGTGGCCGGCATTGTAAGCAGTAAGAGTGAGGCCGTCCAAAGGCGGCGAGAAGGGAGACGGATGGGGTTGATGTGGTTGCGAGTATTTAAGAGGTGTGATGAGCGAGAAATACCGGGCAATCTCTTCCGCGGTAGGCGGCTGAAGCAGAATCCGGCCGGTGCTGCCAGCAGCTTCGGCGGTTCCATTTCCATTTCTTGTTAGGGCTACCCCGGACGTGGCAGCATTTGCGCCAGACTCTGAGATAGACTCTTGAGGCAGGAATGTAGCAGCGAGTGGCGCCGAGGCATAAAGGTCTTGTAGATTCGTACGTCCAAAGGCGACAACCGGACCCGTAGCATATATAGGAATCTGTGTGAAGAGAGGGAACGTCTTGCAGCAGTGGACGAAAGCGCCGATGTGTGCCGGGGTTGCGTGAGTCAAAAGAATGAGGGATAGAGTCGGAATTTGTCTAGATGATTGCGAAGATTAGTTTCAATTGCTAGGAATAGGCGAAGAGCCATTCCGAATCTCACTTTTCTAGCTCCGCAAGATCACGAATGTCAAAGCTATCATCCCAACCGACATCGACCAATATCTTGATACCGCCATCAAGCTCTAGAATTGACTGTGATGCTTTGGATGACGACGACTGCGCGCCCAGGAGTGGCGTGAATGTGAACATGGTGATCGATCGCCAGTGATGCGTCGACGAGCGTGTTCGCGATGGCAGGTAACACGTCCAAGCGGGCCTAGGACTCGATTTCCGGTTATGTGAAAAGAATGATCATTCTCTTATGTCCCGGGTTAGAAAATGACGTGTTTCCGCTTAGGGCGACAAAGGAAAGGCGAGTAATGGTCGAAATAGCTGGAGATCGGACCCAGAGCTGTCTTTGTTGCCGACGTGAAGGCTACGATCATGTGACATACTGATTGGCCAATCAGACGTGTTACGGTACTATATATTCATTCTTGACAGTACGCTGGCTTCGACCTGGGATACTCTTCAATTCAAATAAGTTTCAAGACAGGATAGATAAATATCAAATTACAAAAACTTATCTCCCCAGCAGCGTAAATCCAAAATTGACTATAGGGACTCTCTCATCTTTGAGCCGCTATTCCGAGTCGACCTGCCACTGGTCTCGGACATTGCGGGTGAAGACTTCTGATTCTGATTCTGATTCTGTTCACGGGAAATTAGTAAAACCTCACCTCCATAACCAAATAGAGTAGCTTACGGGGATTTGGCGGGATGAGAAAGGTCGATATGCTGTTGGCACCTTTGGAAGAATCATTTTAACTCTTTGCTCGATTTCTGGAGGAATTTTAGCACCGGCCCACGGCTTAATACGACGAACAGCCTTGGGAAGAGGAAAGTATTTCTTTTCGATCTTGCGAGCTTTTACAGGCCTCTTCAAAATTCTGTATGAAATCCGAATTGTCGTCAATCGTCGCATTCACCTCGCCTGGTGCGAGGGTTGGAAACCTTTTGGAGACATTTGCTTCAGGCACAGGGTCTGAAAGTTCACTGTCAGACAATTCCATGGTGTTTTTTGCAGGACGAATATCCTTCTTTGCTTTTGCCATATGTGAAATTTTAGTAATAACTCTTGTAGAATCTTCTTCTTCTGCTGCTTGTTCCGGGTCGCCGACGTCCCAAGTAACATTCTTCTTGGGGGTTTGCTTCGGAGTCTGGTCAAACGATGTTCTAGTAAATCGAATTGATTCAAGGTCTGGGTAAACAACCTTTTTAGCCTTTTTCGCGGCTTCCTTTTTGTCTTTCTTGGAAGTTGATTTTGGGAGAGTTGCCTTTTTACTTTTACACCTTTTGGTACTCTTTTTGGTTGAAGGATTTGCCACAGCTGCATTAGATCCGGGAATCGTACCCCTCCATTTAGCCTCTCTCCCTTTCTGGTCGTTTCTCTCACGTCTCTTTTCTGCAACGGTATTCCCCATGAGTTCCGATGCCTCCAGTGCCATCTCTACCTCATTCGGTAGGCCCTCTCCAAGAGCAGATGAAGTTCCTAGAGTACAAGTTAGCGATTGGTCATTCGTAAATTCGAACCAAGTCTCTCAATATGATCAAACAGCAAATAGTATGCAAGGGGGTCTAAAGAATGCCAGCCAGATATCTCCCACCAACCCATATCAAATCCAACTATTTAATCAACAAATGCTTCCCTTTTTCTGCATTGAATCCCCTGGGCCGTTTAGCTAGCTTCTGGTTCTTTACACTGGGAAAAGAACTTTTGCCCGTTCTTCCCAAAGACTTCATTGACATGTTCTAGGTTAAATCACTTTGATAATTCCAAATGAATACAAGAAAAGGCACAAGAACATGCTGAGGACGAGGAGAATTACACAAAGCCAAACACACTTGTACTCACCGATTTTCGCAATCTTTCCCTCTTTCCGTCCTTCATCATCAGAGCTATCATGTTCGATTCCGAGAATCTTTCGCGGATCTGCTAGATGTAAAGGTCCGTCCGCTCCTTGCTCGTGATACAATAACCTATCCGCATGAGTGGTCGCTTTCACTTCAGCTGGAGTCGAGCCCCTTGCTCGGGGCTTGGGAGCTGCTCGCTTGTAATCATCACTCTCGACCTGGGCATTGGGATCTCTGTAATCCGCTCGATAGTCTGTGTAGAAACTTGTCTTTGGCCGTTCCGGAGGGGGTGGCAATGGATCCTCGACGTTGCAAACTTTTGGCCAAAGAGGGCCGTTGGCAATTTCTCTCCTCATTTGCGTTCGAGAGATTGGATTCTGCAATGCATCCGTGAGGTAATTGTGGGCCATTTCATACAACTTTTCCCCATGTAGCAGATTGGAAGTATTTGCTGGAAGTCCCGGGTCGAACACCCACTTCAACCCACCAAGTCCAATTGAGGAGTCGAAAGATCTTGGATGACTCCCTGAAGCCACTCCATCAATAACTGATTTGCCTGCAACGGTTCGGACGAGATCTTTTTCTAGATCCTTGCCTTGGGCGGGCTTGGTCGGATCAGAAGCAAATCGCCATCGTGGTACAGGTGCGTTCTCTCCAAAGGAGATCGGTGGGATATTGGTATGCCAATCTTTGGGAAATCGCACTGGAATAGGGAACTGATATATAAATCCAGTTGACCGATTTGGGTCGGGCGTTTTATTCAAAAGGCCACGACTTTCCCATTCTGCCCCTGGTGGTGAATTAAACAGGCCTGGGTTCGCAGCACGAAGTCCTTGGGTTTCAGCATGCTTCGAGGAGCGCTTCCGTTTCGACATCTTTCAATCTTGATGGAAGCTCAATTGTGCCAAAAAATTAAGGACTGGAAGATTTTCGTGAGCTTTAATATCAACGATGGGAAAAGAAAAGAAAATCGGAAGGGCCTACCGAAGGAAATCTGGCATCTATTACTTATATGGTATGATGTAAACAAAGAAGATCACGACTCGGAGAGCCTTGAAAGCCCTGAATGGTTTTAAGTGAATGAATCTTCGAGATATTTTCCACTGGCTAGATTCTGCTGGACAGAATTACTAGGAGAGGTCAATCGTCAGCACAAGTAGTAGGCTTCATGGAACATTACTCACCAGACAAAGCAGCCCTCGGAAAATATACTTCAGGTAAATTTCTCTCTTTGTAGTTTCGGTCGATTTTGAAAAAAACTGCAAAATCACCTAGGCGGAACTAAGATTCCTCGAGTCGTTTCAAAGAAATCTGCTGCCGTTGAATCTATTCAGGTTGACTCCAATTTCCAAGGTTGGCTCTGTCCGATGTGGACTCGACGCAAATTTTGATGCAAAAAAAAGATATCCTCTAGGTCAGACGGACCAAGTCAAGATAGGACTAGTTACTGGTAGTAATCATTCAACCCAATTCATCTCCGTCTGAATAGGAATAGTACCTTTTATGACCATTGTAGAGAAGAAAATACCCCTGAATGCTGTCATTGATATGTCTTACTATATTTCTAATACTAGGACCAAGAGATCCATACAGATCTCCATATTCAGTCTTGCACCCCCACATAGTGTCTTTTGATCAGGTCCTTACCAGTAACTGCGACTACCTGAGGGGGATCGACACATTTCCCTAGTCCCCCAAAAATTGGGAAGGGATAAACCTCCTTAGGGTTGGGTAGAAAGTGGAGCTACTGTGACAAAAGACGAAGCAAAGAGAATATTGGATTGTGTCCGGTGGCACACTGATGCTGACCGAGGAGCCAGAAAGGCTGCTTTGAGACCAATTTAGAGTTCGGCATTTGACACCAGGCCACGCTCCTGGTCAAAGAAAGGCAAGGCGCATTCTCCGGGGGATTCTTCGTATACAGCTGCGCCTGCACAGCGATCATAGGGCAGGATATCGATGAAAGTGAGTTCCAGGGTCCCAGCAGGCCTGGGAAATAGAAAACTACATCGGACTAATTTGGCAATTAGCTCACCCCTTCTGGAATGCGGCCATGCGACTCTACGTAGTGTCCCTACCCCGTGCAGAAAGTTTTTGGGTCAAATCGATCTCAACTACCGAGTGGAACTCGGCAACCGATAACCGTGTCGTGTCCATCAATTCCTTTCATCTACATCAGAGCTGTCAAGTTGGATATGTTCATTGACCGGAACTAGGCTTGAAATGGGATTGGCACCGCATAGTCCAAGGCAAGAGTACCTTGCAAGAACAAAGCTGCCATACAATCATCTCAATCAGACTCGAAAAGTCGAAATATCGTTATTTTAGATGAATGGAAACTCTCCAGCCAACAAAGTTCAACAAAGGCCGTTAGGGAAGCGTGTCTGTTCTACCCGCAGATCTGGGTCACCGTGCCCTCCCACATTCCATAAAAATGCCGGGATGGAGATCATCGCTAACATTTTGAGATGTCGAAAGAGCCCCGTGCTTGGACCCTCTCACTTGGTACTGACAAAGTTGAATGATTCGCATACGCTTTCAGAAGTATGAAAGAGGAATGGGAGCAGCTACTAGATAAGTTTTTCAAATATCTGAACCCGCTACTCACAGGCGGAGGGAAAGAGAAGGAGCAGTGAACACTAGCATTCCTTTCCTAAAGCCCTCGTCCTTGATCCATGTGGCATAAAATTCGTGTCCTCGCTAGTCATTGACTGAACAAAAGACCGAGGAATTTGGGACCCGCGGAACGGATACGGATCATCAGATGTACCTTAATTGGAGCGAAAATGATTAATTTGCTAATGGCGTTCAGCCACAAAAAGTGCTGGAATGTCCGCCCTTCCTGATTCGAAATTATTTTCCCATGTAACAGAATCGTAAGGTCTAATGCTCCAAGTGGCAGACAGAAAATTTCTCCTGAGCACCGAAACAAGTTTATTGCCAGTACCGGGGCTCATCAAAAACGTGATAACGGTGTCCACGGACACCATCGCCACGGAAGAGAGCAGGGAAACGGCGGCCAGATGGCACCATTTCCTCAGGGATACGCATCTCATTCTCTGGCTCCGGCTCACCGATAACAAATTTGCCGACCTAAATTACTGTTAGGAACTGAAAAGCTCGACGAGCAGGAGGTTTTAATTGTCTTACCTGGATTTCGGTGTCGGTGATCGTGTCACGACTAACTCTGGCGTAGCCAGTTCGCTTCAAGCCCTTGAAGAGAATGTACTCGCACCATCGGTCCCAATCGGTGGGATCGATGTCCTTCATCTGGCTCACCTCACTGACATAAGTGTTGTAATTGCCCTCAAGTGGCTTGGTGACCAGGTAACTCAACAGGATGAGAGGACGAGGGGATGAGCCCATCAATTTCGACAGATATTCACTCTGAAGACGACGGTCTTCTGGGTCTTCTTCCTGACCAGAATGGAAAACAACCACATCGATCATCTCACCATACATGTCGAGGGTGGCGTGAATGGCAGGAGCCAGTTCACCAACAGGCGACGGCAGAAGATGGTGAGTGGAATTGACAATGGGAAACTTGGAAAGAAGAGCAGAGCCCCAGGTGTGCTTGTTAGGACCGGGGCCGAAGTCGGCGTAGTAGCCTAGATCTTCAGCAATGTATTGAGTGACATCTTTGTTACCCATGATAATGCGCTGGTTATCCGACTCAAGGAATCCAATAACATCCAGCTCAAGCTCCCCGAGGACATCACGCATACGTCGCTCCGCAGCCCACATGTTATTGTCCAGTCCAAAGTGAACTGTCCAGATACCAGCGGTCACGACCTTGTCCTCCTTGTGGTGAGGGGTATAGTCGTTAGTCGGGAAACGCAGATACGCAATAGACACAGCAAGTAGCTGCAGCGCAGCAAGGACGTAGATATAGTAGGATCGTTGTCTCTTGCTGTTGGGGCTAACAGGCTTGTGCTTGCGGGTGCGGGATGAGTTGGTGGTGGCAGCAGAAAACACGCCAGCTCCAATGAAGAGCATAGTGGTTATCATGAGCCAATCGGTACGCTCACGGACAAGGGGGCCACCGGGAACGAAGGCGTAAGCGACAACCCAGACATGGAAGAGGAGAAGGAAGACGTAGAGAAAGAACCCGAGGCCGAATGTGCTCGCCGGGGAATGGCGGACGCAAGAGGTGATGATGAATGGAGCGGCGGCCATAATGTAAAATGCGAAAATGAGGGCGCCATAGTAGCCGGTCCAGTGGTGGTAATAGGTGAGGAGAGCGGCACCAACCGATCCAACGCCATACGCCGTCCAGCTGCCTGCCACGCGAGGATAGAACACACCGAAAATCAGGCCAGCACCCATGGCGAAGATGGTGACCGCACCGTGGGGAACCGCAATTGGCCCACGAACGGGGTACCCCTCCCAAACCCAGGATATCATGGTGCTGGAGTCGGTCAAGAGAGAAACAATGGCAAACATGAGACCGGCAAAGCCAACACCGGCCAGGAACGAGGAGCCCTTCTTGCCGCCGGCAGGCAGATAGTCGCCGCCGCTGGTGAAGTTAGGCCGGTAGGATCTCAGCACAGAAACAATCGCGATGGCAAGACCAATCTTGTTCCAGCCACCATTTTCAGCGTGCATGATGGGCCAGAGTGGGTTGTTAGTGGAGCAAGCGAATTTAGCGACGACAGACATGATGAGACCGATGCCCCAAGCCATAATACGGGTCTCAAGGCGGGGGGTATTGCCACGCTCAGCAAAGAACGTAGCAGTCCATGCGGCGCAGGTGGTTGCAAGGGAAAATGCAGTCACGAAGAGGCGGTTGGCAGGGTCCTGGAACTTATACGCCAGCAGGGAAACCAGCGAAAGCAGGTGGAGTCCCCGCAGGTTCTTGATAGCAGCATATCGTAACGACGGGATGGCGAGGAACACGGGGGAGATAACAGCCGCAATTGCAACCTCATATCCCGAGATACCCATGTGCCAGAGGGGAAAATACCACACAAGAACAGGCAGTCCAGTCGCAATGGTCCAGAAGACGAACTATGATCAGAACTTAGCAACGAGACAGTTAACCGTAACTAAAATAGAATGCCCTTACCCCGTTATAAACATCACAGGTAGCGTCAAGAATCTCAGCCCAGAAGAAGCCTTCACCAAAAGTATTGCCGACGGGCTTGCCTTTCCTAAACTACAAGGTCAATTTCCATCCTGGGCGGAAATAGATTATGGTTGCACGCACTCTTTTTCGAGAACAGAATCCGCAGTCGTCTTCAACTGCCTAGAAGGAAAGAATTTTAGACACAAATTGTTTTGTTCGTAATCGACGTAACTTTCGACAATATACATTTGTTGTTGGGGGTTTCATTTCGGAAGCCAGGGTACATACCCTCTGCTAATTCCCTTCACATCACGGACCACAATCTCAAAGCCCTCAAAGTCCAGCACGGTGATTGCATCAAATCCAACATCAAATAGGATCAAGGACCACTCGAAGAAAGCATAGCGGGTGTAGGCTGGGTAATGGCATTTCGAGTTAGTATAAAACATCACTTCACTTGAATAGATATCCTAGGTAGCCACTTACCACCGGGAACTTTGTGCACCTTGTGCTGAATGAAGTAGTAGATCAATGGCACTAGGGTTCCAAAGAAGAGACTGGCCATGATCTTGCGGTACTTGACGGCCCGGCGGTTGTTAGGGCTCAGGGCGAGGCAGCCCAGGGTCCATGGCAGGGTAGCAATAAGATAGGAGATCATGAAAATATCATGCCAGTCGTGATCATCGGTGGAGGTAACATAGGTCCATCCACCACAAGTCAGAGTTCGGAAGACACCCACGCCAGCAACAATCTTGGGCAGGGACGAATTAGGACGTGCGGTCAGCACGTACCACAGGAAAACGAGGGCGAAACGAGGACCGGAGGTTATGGCAATAAAGACTTGGAAGAAGGATCGTTCGGGGTATCGATCACCAATGGTTGCGGAGACGGAGGGGAACCATTCGTCGGGGTAGCCGTAGTGTTCGTTTTGGACGATCTTGTGGTAATGCAATGCGACACCGACAATCAGCGCACTGAAAAAGGCGGCATACGCAAAGATAGTGTGAGTCCACGCGACCCATTTGCCGTTGAACTGGATTGAATCGAGTCAGTGATGAACCGAGGTTCTTATCGCGTGATGAAGGCACGTACGGATACCACGGCATCCCCGTCCTTGAATCTGGGTCCCATGGCGGCGCAGAAGGAGGGAGAGTTCTGCAGCCGATATATAGGAGCAAATTGATTGAAGAGATGTAATAAATGAGTGTCGAGAAAGAAAAGGAAACGCCAAAGGAAAGGATGTAGGAGGGCCCCTGAAGAAGAGGGAAAACAATTCGGATCCGCCGGTGTTCAAGTCCAAGTGTCCCCTTGGTGCTCCAGTGGTGGAGCTAGCCTATTATGGAATAGCGCGTATGGTGGTCGGCGCTTCGTTGCGGGATGCCGACCACTTTTTTTTTTCCAGTGACAACAGCCTCAACCATGTCGGCCGCCACAGATAAGGCTCGTTTTTTCCTCGAGAAGTCAGTGCCCGAGCTGAAGGATTATGAGCGCAAGAAGATTTTCAACAAGGTAAGGCGTTTGCTTTCGGGAGGGCCCGTGGGTGGAAGATGGGTTTTGCTGACTTTGAGACCGCCAGGATGAAATTGCCTCGATCGTCAAGAGACGGTCGGATTTCGAGCACAAGCTCAATGCGCGTGGCGCGCAGCCAGTCGATTTTGTGCGATACGTTCAATATGAGATGAACCTCGACTCCCTTACCAAAAAACGAACAAAACGACTCGGTATTCGGACCGCTGGGCATAGCGGCCAACGGCGAATTTTCTTCATCCTCGACCGGGCCACTCGCAAGTTCCACGGTGATCTCAACCTCTGGATCCAATACATTGATTATACACGGAAGCAAAAGGCGCACAAGAAGCTTTCTATGATCTTCACGGACGCTCTTCGATTGCACCCAACCAGCGCCGAGCTCTGGGTCTATGCCGCCAAGTATTCTCTTGACGACCATGCGGATATGCTACAGGCTCGGAGTTATATGCAACGAGGTTTACGGTTTTGCAAGAGTACTAAGATGTTGTGGATTCAATACGCCAAATTGGAATTGATCTATGTTGCCAAGCTGGCGGCACGTCAACGGATATTGGGACTCGACGAGGCTAGCCAACGGCCTAAACCTATTGAAGATAACGAACTCGACACTGACGCTGACATGATCGCGTTACCGTCGATCACGGGCGAGGACATTAACCCCAGTGGGGGCGATGACAAGGTCGTCGAGGAGGCCTTGGAAAATCTCAATTCCACACCGGCATTGACTGGAGCCATTCCGCTCGCCATTTTCGACGCTGCGATGAAGCATTTCAACAATGATGATCAATTCGGGTTCGACTTTTATGAGATGGTCTCCGAATTTCACGATGCGCCGTGTCTGCGCAAGATCCTTGACCACGTGGTGGAGACGATGCGGGCGCACCAGCCTACGAGCCCCCGTACCCAGATCTGTTACATCAAGTTCCCGACTGCCGGTCTGTCCGTCACATCGGCCGAGTTTCCACGGGCCTTTGGTGGTTCTCTTACACGTTTGAAAGAGACACACCTGAGCAGTGCATTGGCGGTCGAGGTTGTGAACTGGCTGCAGACCATTGTGGAAACGGAGGACTTGGATCCGTCACTGAAGAAGGTTATTGTAGCAACCATGCACAATGCGGACCGTGTTGCAGCCAAGGAGTAAAAATTGAGTACGCTGAGTACACTCGACCTCATGGAGGTTCTATCATGATTCTGCACATTCAAGGCGTTGTTTGGTGGGGTGTGAATAACAAAATTCCAGGGCAGATATTTCCAATTACCATGTTAGCTTTTTGTCTCTTTGTTTATTTTTCCTCCCCTCTTGATCTTTGATCAAATTATTTTCTCCATTAATCATCGTATTTACTCCCCCGTCGATTGCTCTTTTTGTTGCTGAGAAACTTCTTGGTTTTGAGCCGCGCCTCATTTTGTGCACGCTGTAGCTTGTGTACCCGGACCGATTGTTCCTGGGAGGTCTCTCCGGGGATGACCTGTTTTGCTGAGCTCATCAGTAGCTGGTGGAGCTTGTTAAAGCAGGCCTCCACGTTACTCGATTGCTGTCGGGATTCGTCGGATTGTATCACCAGGGCCTGGGACCGGTCGGTCGCATAGCGGGAACCGCGTAGCTGGGGGTGTAACAAACTTGGTACCAATGGAAGCAAGGCCACCAATGGGATTTTGAGGGTGGCCTTTGAATTGACCCTGGAGGAACCCCACGGTCAGCAAGTTTCAACTAGTACGGTGTACGGAAGTACGAGGATGGAGCACGGGTAACAAGGAACAGGTAAGAGAGGAAGGAGGAGGAGGGGACCTCGGGGTTGCACCGACTTGTTCACATTCTGACCTCCGGGACCGCTAGAACGGCTGAAAGACAGGTGGGCGATATGGCGGGGAATGGTATTGGGGTGCAGGTCTTTCAGCCACGACCTGGCTAGTTCGAGGTCCAAGTCAGCCGACCCATTTGAACGCGAGGCAAACTTTCTCAAAGACGACCACCTGACTGGAAGAGATTGCCAAAGCGGCGTCATTCCTGTCAGGGCGAAACTTGGGACCAAAATATGGAGATGGTGAAGGGTGAAAGGGAAAAGGTGGAGCTTGGCGGCGCTAGAACCTTTGAGAAGGGGGTTGGTGTGACTAATTAAAATAGCTCTAAAGTTGCCGTGAAGGAAGATGGCCGATACTGGAGGGTCTGGGCTATAGGGGAATAATGGGAACATACTAGTACTAGTAGTAGCAGTACTACTAGTTCTAGTGTTACAGATATTCAAATGTAGAATACCTACTAGCAGTACATACCAATACATTTACATATGCATATGCATACATACATATACCTAAAAGTAGTAAGTACTAATATGAGTACTACTCCCTGGTCATGGTACTAGATGGTACTCATGAACCAAAACAAGCACTAAACTACTCGCCGCGGTTAGCGCCCCCGGCGGGAAACTCTGTTCTAAAACTGTATTCTTACCATACATGCAAGTTCAATACGTTCTATACCTAGTACCTAGGTGTTTACTTTGTAGGCTGCATATGGAGTATACCTTGTACATAGACTACATATATTACTCTATACTAGGTATTCTGTAAAAAGCACTACTCTAATAGTACTCGATCGCCATGATGTGCTCATACAGTCCTCTTTGTTCACCTCACTTCCCCTCACCAGTGGTCTGCTCGGCCCCATCCACCCGATTTGAGAACCTTTACCGCCCTTACAAACATAGAACCTTAGGCCCGGCCTTTTTCTCATCGCCCCACCTTAGCTTGCGATTGCAAAATTCAAGTCCCATCTCTTGCGCCGCCCTCCACTTCGTCATCTCTCTATTTCTTTCTTCCCTTCTCTTCCCCTTCCCCTCCCCTTTTTGTAGATGAAACCTCCTCCTCTCTTCTGTCTACATGACGCCCAGTCCCCCCCGATGAAGCTCTTCACTTCCGCGGAAAGACCTTGACTCCGGAAAGTCCCCGACCGCTACATATCCCGGAGCCATCCAATATCCCAGTCCTCGAGAACCAAATGGACCCCGTCTTCAACGATACTTCCACATACGATCGCCCTGCTAGTGATTTCTCTCGCACCCCCTTTCAAAATTGTCAATCACAAGATGGATGGTCCAATCTCCCTATCGAGGCGGGGGTAGTTTCGGAATTGGCCCGACACCCAGGTAGTTTGCATGCTGCGCAGCCTAAGGATTCTGCGATGATGAATGATATCAGTGTTTCTGCTCCCAGTTTCTACTCTTCTACCTCAGCAGAGGTCGAGCAGGCTGGCAACGCAAACCCCGGCCTCGCTATAGCGAACTCTAATCCTTCCTATGCGCCTCCGGCAGTCCCGGTCCACCAGGGCTTTGCCACGACGGGTGATATAGACAATGCCGGGAATCCGGTCAATCCATGCGCTTTGCCAGGTCACCTAGAGGAGGATCTAAAGAAAAATGCAGCGGCAGGAGGATCAGGATTGGGATCGGGCTCGACTACAGTTGGGGTCAATTTTCAAACTCTGCTGGACAATCTCTCTCATCCGCCCGCTGCGGCGACCGCGCCTACAGGGGCTATGCCCTCTCTAGTGGAGGCAGGCTCGTCACTCCCCAAGGCACCTATGGACGAGCCTCTCCAACCCGGGTTATCATCTTCACTGGACGCTCAGTCTGTGAACCTCCCGGCCCGCCCTCCCCTTCAAGATGCCCCCACCCATCCCAACTACCCTGCCCATGGTGATCCCGCTTATCACCAAATCCCCCCCTGCCCAAATCCCCACCTACGCGACAGAATCCAGTAATGATACCCATCAAAACTTCCCCTCTATGCCTCCCGGAGGTCCCCCCTGGTGCTGGCTCCGGTCTCGGCGCTCTCCCCCTCCCCCCCATTGCCAGTTTCCAGCAGGCCCAACAAACCACACCTACTTCGACCGCGGATTCGCAGACGTCCCTAGAGGGACTCTCACAAACTCCCAAGAAAGGTCGGGCCGATAAACCAGTGGTGCGACCCAGCAAGGCAGGGGATGACGATTCGCCTTGGGGGCCGGAGGTTCAAAAGAAATATGACGAATTCTTGCATGATGAGAGAATATATGTGACGGAGGGTCTCTGGGATCGCTTTCCAATGGGTTCGAGACTGTTCGTGGGTCAGTATACATCCTATACAACATGCCCTGTCGCTTCAAAGCATCCAGCTAACTTTTGTCTTTTCTCCATACAGGAAACCTTCCCACCGAGCGGGTTACGAAGAGAGACATGTTCCACCTATTCCACAAATACGGCAAATTGGCGCAAATTTCGATCAAGCAGGCTTACGGCTTTATACAATTTCTTGAATCCGGTGCTTGCCACGCAGCATTGCAGGTCGAACAAGGCGCCTTGGTCCGTGGAAGGAAGATTCGTGAGTATTTGAAGTCACATGTGCACTGTACTCTATGGCCATTTGCTAATATGTTCTCTTTGTGCTCCATAGATCTTGAGATTTCCAAGCCACAGAGATCGACTCGACCTGGCCCTGCAGAGCCGGTTCGTGCACCACCGCCCCGTCGCTCCCGATCGCCAGAGTTCAGCCGAGCTGCCCCTGTCCGGAACAACGTTCGAGCCACCGGTGATCGTTTTGATCGTCCTCACGAAACAGCTCGACTTCCCTTCAGCGATTTCCGGGATGAGCCCTCACACCGCAGACGTGATGACTATCGACCTCCGCGATCACCTTCTCCTCGACCTCTTCGCCGAGATGGATACCGGTCACGAGATCGGACTCCTGAAAGGCTCGATCGCCGTAGAAGGTCCCGGTCCCCGCGCTCTCCACGATCCCCGTACGCCCGGGACCGTCGGTATCGCAGCCCAAGCCCCCGACCCCGTGGCGTCTATGAAGGAGAAGCCGATCTCCCAGTTCCGAGACGGTCTCCACGAGACGTGCCAGAGGTCCAAGTCCTTGTTTTAGAAGAAGTGGACCGTAACTTCATTCTTCATGTGGAAAATGCTTTTCGCAATCGCGGTTTGCGTGTAGACGTGCTTGTGCTTGGTCCTCGGATTCCCCTCGGCGCTGCGGTTCACCGTCAATACATTGAAGGTGTTCTAGCAGTTGTTCGTTTGTCGCGGCCAAACCAATTCTCTCGCAAAATCCCCCTTCAAATATTTGACCGAAGTGCCGGACCGGCCAACGTCCGCTTCAGCGACTACCCTGAAGTTGAACCTAATATTGCCGCTGAGGTCATGTTTCACCAAGCCCAAGCGATGCAGCGAGGCCCCATTCCAGCTTCCTTTGCCCCCAATATGGCTTTCGGCGTTCCTCAGATACAGCCTATGCCTATGCCTATGCCCATGCCTCAGGCTCCTATGCCCCAGCCGAGTATGCCAGCTCTCTCCAATCCGCCCAATATTGCGAACTTGATTAGTTCCCTGGATGGCCCTAGCCTTCAGTCTCTCTTGTCCGCCCTCCAGCGGCCGGGTCCACAGTCACAGCCTGGATCGGCAGCGCAGTCGCCATTTTCCTCTCCCAACCCTCCGTCACATGCCGACTTAGCCAGTCTGTTGAGCAATGCGAGCCGACCTCCCCCGATCCCTCAACCCCCACAACAACCCCTTCTCCATCCACCTTTTGCCATTCACCATCCCACTGCGCCTGTCGTCTCTGACCCGAACCTTCTTGCTCTGCTTGCTAAAGGCCTCGGAGGCCAGCCGCCACAGGGACAGGCACCTGTTGCTGCGAATGTCCAAAATCTCATGAACCAATTGCTCCATCGAAAGCAATGAATTAACGACTTTCCTCTTTCTGTTGCCTGCCTTCGAGGCGCAACTCACATCTTTTCACCTGTGCTATTTTTGTGCAGCTTGGCGTTTACATTTTCAGCTCCATGCTGTGGTGGGTTCTCTTGAATTTCGTTTTCGTACTGGCATCAGCCGGTGGCTGCAATAACTGGCGTTTGTTTGAATTACTTAATGTTGCCCCTAGGGGCAGCAAATACTACTAGATATTAGGGTGATCAGGGTGCAGATTGGAGTTGTGTATCTTTCCATTCCGATGCAGTCATGTATCCTCGTTCACCTCTGCATCCGCTTATCTCTCATCCGCAAAATGGATATAATTTGACGCTTTCCTCTGGAAAATTAGCTCTTTTTCATCTTGCTTCTTTGCTTCTTTTGCTCAACTCCCAGGCCATCGAATCATCCCAACTTTTGTGGGCCATGAATGGCCACCTAGCTACATAACGATCTATGATTTCATCCTTTTTACCTCATTCTCATTTGCCTAGTCTTTGGGCATATTTTTATGAAATGTCATAGTTTCACATTTAAGATTGATTGTAGAATGACAGTGAAAAGAGTTGTCGTCAGAAAACATGAGTGGATATGGTACATAATGTACAAGGGCTGTCCGCCATCAAACAGAAAATAAAGAATTCCCTTAATTCGTACTCCGACCCTGCGACTTCAGCTCCTGCACTGTTGCAGCATCCTCCTTCTTGATACGCGCAATTGTCTGGTCCCGGTTATATTCCATCACGCGCTTTTCCTTGAAATATTTCACCTAGGAAGCCAAGTCGGATCAGCAATCGTCCCAAAAGTCCAATCTGAAGCTGTACCAAACCGGTGAAAGCTTGAAGGATCTGAAAATGCAAGCACTGTTGTACGTACCCAGGTTGCTGAGCAAGCTGCCTCGAACTCTTCAACCTCCTTCGCACACTTCCGTCGTGCCTCCTTGTCATCCTTAATACCGTCCAGGATATCGTTTCGATCTAGACAGGCGAAGAATAGATCCCGGCCCTCCCAGCAGCGCTTGCGACTCGTTCGGTCCGGCGCAATACGGCCACCATCGGAAGCTTTGTTCGGTTCAGCACCGGAAGACCAGGGAAGCCAGCCCATTTTAAGAGGTATGTATGTTGTTTATAGGAGTCGAGGGGGTAGTTGAGTAGTGCAGGTATCAGGGACAGGTCCTGTGTGGCGAGAGCGTAAAGGTGAAGTTGATCGGAGTAAAGTAACGCAGAGCGTTGCAGGTCGTGGCTCCCGCGGGCTCGGCAACGCCAAGCCAAGACTGTTGATCGTCACGGCCTCAACGCTGGCCTTCCTTTCCCACTCACGACTGCAACGCTCTATTCTTACCCCAAGACACCACTCTCCCTATAAACCCCAACGACTACTTGTATTCTTTATAACGTTTTACGACCCTCGGCTGCCCGCGATCGCATTGTTCATACCCGGCTCCATTCGCCTGACTTGAGCGCAACGCTCATCCACCCAAAACTCGCACCCTTCTCGCTAGACCTCGCCGAGGCAAGGTCTTCTGGTCTTCTAGTTGATGGCCGGGCGCCGGCGCCTCCCAGCTGGGTCACGAACCGAACTGCCACCACTGAAGATTATCCGCAAGATCCTCCTGCTTCAGATTGCCTACTATGCCGGCGCAACGGTACTCATCCTCTTCACAACCATCGTTTACGGTACGCCGTTCTCGCTGAACCTCGTCTTTGGCTGGGATTATTTGCGCGGAGATACCACGGTGGGCTGGATGCTCGGTTTAGTGTGGATGTTGAACTGTTTCATTAGGTAGGTTGGGTCTATCTTGTATAGGGAGCTTGAGCTCGAGTACTCTATCCACATACCCTTACCACGTTTGGCTAATAATTGTCTCCTTTCCAGCGTTATATTTCTTCTTCTCTTCGTGTCACGGTCCAAGTTGGTACCAGACTTCGCCCTTACAATTCACTTCCTCCACCTCGTCGCCACCACCCTCTATACCCACTCTCTCCCTTCTAACCTCCTGTGGTGGGGTCTGCAATTTGCCAGTGCCGCGATGATGATATTCGTCGGTATGTGGGCATGCCAGCACCGAGAACTACGTCCGATCACATTCACTGGACTCGAGGGCAGCAGCCAGACCGGGTCCTCGTCACAACAGACCGGTGATGATGGCCAACAAGAATCGAGCTTTGGGCGTGGTCGCGGCCGCGAGCGCAGTCTCCAGAACGAGTACGAGATGGATCGATTGAAGGCAAATGGACAGCATGCTGTATAAAGAGACTGTGTTCCTTTTTTTCCCTTTCTCAAACACGGTCCGCAGGTGACCGCTTCTTTTATATTACTTTTTTGGTCTATGACTCTGGGGGCTTGTTTCTTTTCTTGGCTCTGATGCCTGGGTATAGCGGGAAATTCATTTGCATCATTCTCATTTCTTGTATACTCTGTCACGGTTGCATCTATATAGATGGCGTTTGTCCTGAGGACGAAGGAACTTGGTACTTATTTTCTTTTGTCGGATATAATGTTTCAATAATTAAACTGGAGCAACTAGTACCTAGGTAATAGTCTCCATATCCTCTTCCTTACATTTCAACACCTCAAAAAGCCAACCGCCTTGTGTTAGTCTCGTCTGCAAACTAATACTACCCCTAATAGAACTCTAGTGCTATTTGAAACCGACGTGTCGCAGCTCTATACTCTATTCAATTTTGGAGTTGAATACTCAGGTCCAAGGTGTCAACCGCTTGGGCGATTGGAAAGCAAAGAATACAGTGGTTCATGGCTAGGTATGAGATCATAAATAATTCACTTCGGACTGGAGCCACCTCAGGCTGGGGTTGAACAAGATTCACAAGCCGTTTTGGAGGAGGAGTGTCCTCACGAGGAAATATTGTAGTACAAGTTTTGATAGCCCGACTTCGAGTATTAACCTATTTAACATCATTACAATGTGTACTAGCTCATTCTAGCCTCGTCGCAATAACCAATACCCCTCGTCTTGTCGTTCCCTTTATTACGAGACCGACGCTAGGATAGTACGTAGCAGCCTCAACTTCGGCGGCTCGACAGTAGACAGGGGGACTCGAAGGTATTCGAGTGATATCATAAAAATAAACTACTAGGAAACCAAGATCTCAGATCACAATATGCTCGTAAAAGGCGAAATTTATTACCATTGAATAAACACATGTGAAGCCGATGTTCGCTTGCAATTTACTTTATATACGATCTTATCTCGTCGAATACTGTAGTACCTCTACTGGAGCACCCTCCCATTACTCTCCTCGACAATCAACTCGAATTCCGGTTGAAACTCGGTATAGAGATTATGCTATGATTATTAGCGCAATGTCAATATCATACTTCACCTGTACTCACGGGATTCTGAGCCACATTGGCGGTATATTGAGCAACCTCGTCACTGATAATTCTCTTGGGGACGCCATTGGCAGCAGCAGCCTCGGCCATAAGCTGGGATTGACAAGCATTTTCCAAGAAAGAGTAAAGAATGGCAGCCTCATCAACCGTTGTTCCGACGGTTAGAAGACTAGAATTCTCTCGTTAGACCAAAGTTTACCTGTGCTGGTTTCATTTTTGTGTTCATTGACTCACCCATGGTTTTGCAGGATGCAAGCAATGTTATCTTTGCCAAGGGCAGCGGCAATTTGCTTCCCTTCATCCTGGGAAAGAGCAATACCACCGTGATCTTCGTAGACACTCACGCGGCCGAACAAATTGCATGCGTCTTCATTCGATCAACTCAGTATTTCCGTGCTATGGTAAATGAAGAACTCAACAAAAACATACCTTGAGTAAGCATCTCGATGTTCTTCCCAAATGAACTCCACGTTTTCCCATAGATGCCGTGGGTGTGCGCAGCAGCAATGACATCAGGTCGAGCCTTGTGAATTTCGGAATGAATCATAAAGCCAGCCTCGTTGATGGGAAACTGGGCACCACCTTCAGTAACGTAACCTTCATCGTCGACAAGCACCAAGTCGGAAGCCTTGATGGTGCTGAAATGTTTGGCGAATGGGTTCATCCAAAAGTGGTCCTTCAGGATAGGGTCTTTGGATGTTAGCTGATACCTTCCATCAAGAGCTGATTAGTTCATACCTCTAATCGAGATATGTCCAGATACACCCTCTCCATATCCAAGCTTGCCGAAATAGCGGAAGGCAGCAGCCATATGTTCCTTCATCCACTGTCGCTGCGCAAGAGGGTCCGAAAAGGTGGGGATTCCTCGCAACTTCAGAGCGCCATCGCGGGTTCCTCGAGCCAAAGACTGGAAGGTAGCATCTTGGGCTGCGGGGGTGACCCTGATCTGTTCCTCGCCAGCCAGGAGGAATGAACGTTGAGTCTGCTGTGTGGACGTAGCGGTAGTCATTTTAGATGATGAGGTCGGTCACGACTACAAAATTCTCTCGACTTTAAGACAGATATTGAGATCTGAAATGTGGACCGGAGTGGATCAGCCAAACGGGAATGTGCATTTTATAACTAATAATCAACCGGACGGGATGACCTACCGAATCCCCTTTCTGAAGATAACCAGCAGGGAAGGTAACCTACCCCCCCACGCTTCAAATAGCCCTGTGGAAGTTTAATGGAGGGCTTATCTCTGGCTGACCCCGCAAACCCCACCTGAGTTGTCATTGGAAGGAGTCGCTTCCTTTCGGTGAAGTGCCGGAGGAAGGCGTCTATGTCGGAATTCTGTGCGCTTGTAGATATTTGCCTCAGTGGATGAAGAGCCCTTCTGGAATCTTGATAGTATATCACGCTCTTGATTGGAGCAACACGTTCGTTCTTGCGTCATCTCTTATGGCCCTTGTTCATTGATCTCTCCTTTCAATGCCTGCCATTATAATTGGAAATTGCGTGAGCGAGTAGTTTTTAATCAGGATCTGAATTTGTGAAGCCTAGAATGAAGTATCTGTAAAATGAGCGATACTATTAGTGGTACCCTGCAGATAGAATTATGAGAGTGCAGCCTCAGGCTATAATACTCAACACGTGAC